ATTTGCAATTATCCTTCATTATGTTCTACATATATTACACAGTTATTTATTATAGTAACCAATAAAAAATAAAATGCAAGTTATGTGTGTTGTGTGTTATATGTTAAATGTAAGTTATTTTACAGTTATTTCAGCAATGAACGTTGTGTATTTTGGCATGATGTGATCCATTTTTTGGATTTTTTAACGGCTTCAAACCAAATATAGTGCTCCTCAGCACAACATTCACTTCAGAGCATGCCAATCAGCACCCACACAAACAGCAAGTCATATCAGAGGGATTATGCTGCACCAGGGAAAAAGCAACTGGTTATGTAAAGGGACAGGTGTGAGAATTTCTAGAAACTTTAGACTGGAATGCAGACTCTTTGTTTAAGGTACGCTTGTGACAAGGCAGTAGGATCTTTCAATGCCCAATATTCCCACATAATTTCCATTATTACCTATTAGTTTCCATTATTTATAGAGGAAAGTTTCCATCATGGCGGGCATTTACGCAACACAACTGCAAACCATGGAGAAGCACGGAAACAACCGTTAACACAATCTTCTATTGTTTTTGGTACACTGGGCATTTTATTGCATTCGTAGTGATTCCCACAGGTCTAAGTGTAACAATCTGCAGCCTGATGTTTTCATAACAATACAAAATATTTTTACTTTGGATGTATTCTTAAAATGAAAAAAATATATAATTGGGTTGCTGTCAATATATGCTGGTGGTGGGATAGTCTTGTCAACAAAAGAATGCAATTAGTCTTGTCAACAAAATGAAACCAACAGACTTCCTAATCTGAAAGACAACGCCACAGCAAGTCATACGACTAGGTCGCAAGTTCAACCTTCCGGGCTACTGAGAGGAGAAATTAACCATGAGAGTCTGCCGGTGACTGTACTGTCATCATCCTCACATGCTCTCACTGGCTCAGCTTCAGCAGTGATGGAAATTGACAGAAAGAACAGCAAGCATAGTTAATGTGCCAGCTCTCTTGTGGCAGATAATATGTGTTAGCACAGTCGCTGCCAAAAAACAGAAAGAAAACAAGAGGAGACATCTGGCACAGGAACACACAACTGCGTGTGCTATTGCTGAATTGCCGAGTTTGCATCAGTGTCACTAATTTCCATCTGCTGTAGATTACCAGCAATTTATGGAGGGTGAGCTTGAAAGGGGGTCCAATCCATCCACTATAAAGAAGCCCACCTGCTAAAGCCTATCTTTGGCAAATTTCAGATATCTTGATTTTTCTCCAGAACTTTGTGTACTTGGGTTTAATTTCATTATTTTCCTTCATCTGGATTTCTTGGACACAATGCTACTGATAGTCATATCACAGTGTTCCTCTATGCTGGTATTCTGTTAGAGCATTACTGAAGGAGTCTGAAACACAGTAAGAACAAAAAGACCACCCATAAGAGAGACAAAATTGAACTTGAGAAGGTTCCATCCTATTTCCTTGAAAAAAAGGTTTGACTAAATTACTGTCCTCATGAGGTTCTTATTGTCTTAACATTAGATTCCTCCCCTGATAAACTGTAAACACAGCACAAATATGTAACATAATCATATAATCTAGTGGTTCACAATCTAACAGTTCCGCTGATTCACAGCCCTGCAAATCCACAAAGTACAGGCAAGATTAGTCAAGAATTCACTTTACTTACCTAGTAAGTGCAAACGTAAATTTCACATTTTATTTAGGATTTCCCTTGATTTTATGCAGCTATTCCACTGTCCTGAATGCTCAACAGCTGCAACGTTAATAAGTTAGCTAACAAGCTAGAACAGCGCGTTGGCCAACTGATAGTATTCTGATGACATCACAACTGCGCTGCTGCCATTTTGGTAAAAAAGGTCAAGTTCATTCAGCAGTGCTGTGGCGGTTTGTAATGAGATAAAGCTATAACCAGTCCAGCAAAGGCAGTAAAACAAGTTTTTGGATAATTCATTCATTCATTCATTCATCTTCTAAGCTGCCTGTCCTCCTGGGTCACGGTGGGGGCAGGGAGGAGGGTTAGGGGGCAGAATGCAGGAAACACCCTAAACAGTCCATTGCAAGATTTTTTTTTTTTGGATCACTTTTTTAAATTTCATTTTTAAGGCTAGTAGTGATAACAAATAAAAGCTGAAATCTAAATGGCTGAGATTTTCCGATGCGCTACTAGGCCCAATCCCATTTCTTTTTTTACCCCTACCCCTTGTTTTCGAGTGTCACTCTAACCCCTTGGAACTGAGTTAGTGGTTGAAATCTTGCCCTACGAAATGGGACAACCCTCAAATGAAAAAAAAACACTGCTTCATTGACAGGCTACTAGCCTGTTATAGGAGATAGCAGAGAAGGGAAAAGTTCAGCGACCTCACTGCTGGGCTTTAGTTACATTTAGAGCATCATGTGCTTTCAAAAAGGGGTATAAGACAATTATTTATTATCACCCACCGCTAATTCTTTGGTGATATGAAGCTGAAGTCAGCTATTCACCAGCTTCTTGTTCGTATTTTCCCGTTCCACCTTAAATGGTGCAGCAATTACATTCTGGTGCTTCAGGCGTTAACACTGCTGGACTATTTAGGTGGAACGGGAAAGTTAGCTAGCTAGCTACCGAGACAGCATGCTATCAGCGATTTTTATGCTTGTTATGAAGAAGCATATTATGAAGACCATAATGCATTGAAACAACATTAAACTAAGATAATACGATGGTTATCGTCATTTTTTAACGGAGACAATACTTACACTTGTGGGTTTCTTTGGTCGCTCGCGCAGCCATCTTGCCGGTTTTTCTTTTTTTCCCTCATAACACTCTGTTTGGAGTGCGCCTCTGAAAAACCTCCATTTGGAGGGCCATATAGCCCTAACCCTTCACCCTACCCCTCTATCTCAACAAAAATTGGGACACCCTAACCCTAGACGTGAACACGCAAAACAGAGAGCTAAGGGCTAAGTGGTAGGGGCAAGGGGTGAAATGGGATTGGGCCTTAGTGGCGCGTCCCAAACCACATACTAGCACAGACTAACTAGTGTGTAAAAACAGTGCATATACCATTAGAAATGCACTCATTAGTGTAGTAGGTAAAGTAGTGTGTGGTTTGGGACGTGGCATTAGATCAGCCAGTGAGACATGTTCAACTGCTGCTTTGCTGTGCTGCACGTTAGCTGTTCATGAAATATTTCCAAGTGAAAGTTTAAGGTATTTGTTGATTAAGGATGCATTTATTAAGATAAATTAATTCATGTATTCAGGTAAGCCGACGTTAGCTTCACATTCGCAAACTTTCATAATTCATTCTACGCTTAAGGCACCTCAGTGTAACTGCAGCACCATTTAAGGTGGAACAGCAATTTCAAATGAGAAGCTGGCGAATAAGAAGCTAACTTCAGCTTTATATATGTTTATGAATTTACTACCAGCTTTGGTAGCCACTTTTATTAGTTTTTGTAAAATCTCATCGATTGGAATTTTCTGAACTAATGGTAAGCAGGTCATACGGATCCAGTCCACTAATCCAGCTAATCATCTCCTTGTAGTGTTTTCTGGAGGCTGAATCTATAATGTCCATGTATCTTTTCATGCTATTTGTGGTCATTCTGATTTATTTTGCTTTTTATCCTTCAGCCACCTGCAGGGTTGTAACTGCAGTAACAGTGATGAAACAAGCTCTATCAGAGCACAGTGAGATTTACAGCTTGCCTACCAACATGTTGATGTGGTCTTCTTAATGACGCAATTGAATACTATGAACTGGCCACATTATTTAAGATACTGTGAGAAATGTGTCAATGTCTAACAGGCAAGTGCGCTGTTGAAATAGCATTCACCAATTTATTTATGCGAAAGTTTGTTGAGTATCTTGCTTGCTATGTCTGCTGTTTGCATTGTGTAACAAGTACTATATCTATGCCAAATTTGTTATAACTAGGTGACTTCACAGTCAGACCCTTCATCAGGGGACCCCTAAGAACTCTGCATTAGAGCACAGCACAGAAAACTGATTATGAGGAATGGTGTCCTGGAAATCTGCCTCAGCAGAGATGGGCATAATTTGGCAAATGACTGACAAGGAGGATTTGGGGATTAAAACCCTTACACAATCCCTCAACAATAGCTCGTTCAATTAAACCCTTCTAAGCTGTTTAATACTTCAAAATGCACATCGGAAAGAGCTTGCCAACAGGAAACAGCACGACAGTGACAGGCCTCTTAAGATCCGTTCTTAAAATTATTGGGGCCACCATCAATAAACAACTCAGCTAATGTGACACATATTTGTAACTTACAACAACAGCCTTCGGTAAAGGTTAATGGTCGATTTCATTTCTGCTTGAGTCCTAAAAACGTCCCTGAGGCGCCTTAACACAAAGGCATCATCACATGATACAGCTGCCCTGGGAACTGGAGACCTTCAGTGAATCAGATCTAACAGAGCTGGCTCTGACCTCGGAAGATTAGCGTAGGTTAACTGAGAAACTCTAAAAACACTTCTCCTGAAAAGCGAGCAGCGTTAGCGGTCAGCCGCAGCTAGAATATCGCACGAACTGGACGTCTGGACAAAATAGCTGAAGCTGTTTCTTCGGAAACAGTTCGTTAAAAGTTTGACTGGTTTAACTGACGCTAGCTCTGCTGAGACTGATCAACATCTGGCTGTTGCAAACTTCCCATTACAGGTTAGCCAACAAGCTAATTAATCGCGAAACGAATTAAACGCATTGTGGACAAGTGAAAACAGTAATAAGACGCACACCGAGATTTCAAACTGTTTCTTGCGAGCTTTATCGCTGGTTATTCATTTCAGTTAGCTCACTATCCACCACGTTAAGGCAGCAAGCTGCACGAAACACACCAACGCGTTACTACTTAGCTGGGCTAGCAACCAGCTAGCGCGTCGTCAGCTACAGAGATGTTGTAGTAAAGACCGAAGAACAACAACTGAAGTTTTGTGTCGCTCTGACGAAGCGGACGAAGCTGGCAGAGCTCGGTAAAAAGTTTAAAAGGAAACTCACCGCGGTGAACCGTCGCAGAGGGATGACAGACCTGGAGAACAGGGATGCTTTTTTCAACAGGCGAAAACAAGAGTGAAGAGTGAAAAGAACTCAACTAAAATGCGAAACTGAATCGAAAGCCTCCTGCTCTCTCTCTCTTTCTCTCTCGCCGCTGGGCACCAGAACGGCCTGATGACGTCACTCGCTGAACCATATACGCCCTCATGCAGCTCAGTGTGGCCTAGTCTGAGGAGTGGAGGATGTTTCACAGCTTCTCTCGGGACTGTTGAAAGAGTCAGAGTTATTTTTTTCATATCTCACTTTTCACATTGAATGTGAGTTTTTCTGCCTCCTTAAACATAGTGTCACCTTTCAGTGCATCTTATGTGAGGTGAGAACGACACAAGCTGAATACAGATGACTCCCTGCTGGACATGTAGAGCTAATTAAGCTATGTAAGTGTAGAAGCCATTAGTTCATGACCCATGTAGAACACTATGTAGGAAGCAGGAAGTATAATTAAATGGAATAACTTAAGGGAAATCCCAAGCATAGGAACTTTTTAACTGGCTTGCTTTAATACTTGCTCAGTTTGAAAGTGTCTGGTCTGGTAATATCCAAAGATTTTATCACCATTCACAGTGATTGGGAATGTCCAGATTATAATTCTAAATGCCCATGTTCCTGAGGTTTAGATGTCCTTTGATTAGGCGATACAACTAGTAACCTTTTCATAACTTTTTCACCTTTACAATATTATCATAATATAAAAAACAGTATGTGTATAAAAGAAACTATATTACTATAAAGTATCTTTTTAATATATACTGTTGTTATATGTTTTGAAGATTTGTGTCTTTGAAAAAAAATAATCTTCATTTATTTTCATTTATGGAATCTTGTTTTTTCAGCTTTTTTAGTAAACATGTCTTTAGATTCCCTAGATGTCAGACTGGGTGGTAAACTCGTGGTACTCTTGCTTGCACATAGAGTAAGAGGATAGCACTGCATCCTTTACTCAGAGCTGTGAAGCTGCTTAGGCCAAAAACACACTAAAACAGCGCCGAATGTTCCAGCCATTTCATGAAAATTTTTAACCTGAACATATACCAGCTGTGCATACCATTGTATAACAGGTTTTAAAGCAGAGACCTTTACTTAGCCTTTATTCATCCAAATGCCATGGCTATAATAATGCTCATTTCTGTTTGTGCCCTCTAGTGCCAAACTAACAGTAGCATATATTTACTTTCCTACAATGAGTTCATGGCATTTGAAACTTGAAAGACATGTAACTTTTTTTTTTACTTTGATTGTTGTAGTTTTACAATCAAACCTGCAGAATTACTGTAGGAGCATGTTAGCTACCTGCCAATGTGTTTGTTAAACACCACATTCTTATGTAGAGTATATTGACTATAGTTTTAGGCCTTTTACTTCATCTACACTCAATTTGTGACTGCAAGTATACTTGTATTTGAGATTCTGCCTGTCACACATGATCAGAATGTGACAATGTAGTGGGATTTTGTGATACCAGAGCTGTTCTGCATAAAAATCTGTGGTGAAACTGTTCAAATACATAAGCTATGCAAACACTGTTGGCATATGCACAGTAATGCTGTACACTAGACTAGCCTATTCTCCTTGCTTTCTCATGACATCCACACCTACGCAATCCTGTCGCTATTGTCTGCAGGTGAAGCTTTTGTTATGTTGGGTCAGAATAGTTTATGGCGAAACGGAGAGTTACCTCCCTGATGAAACTGGTAAAAAATACAATAAAAACGCAGTCAAAGTGGAAAGATCACCAGAACAGAAGATGCAGCCGTGTATTCTATATCATTTACTCTTGATCTTACAGTTTATTTAGAAATCTAAATCCGTTGTTTTGCAAAACGAAATGGCCCAGTTTCTGCAGGTCTGTGGTTTGAGTTTTAGGAATTGTGCAGTTCTTGGTTTCACTGACCAGTTGACACATGACTTTTAGATGTCATTTTAAAGCCTTACTTTGTCTAAAATATAATAAAGGAAGTCAGGACTCTTGAGTTATACTCAGAGAAAAACAATACTGCTTACATTTTTTAGACCCAGATATTTAGAAATGCTACTGATAGAAACATGTGGCACCACTGAGATAAGATATAACGCATGCTTTCACTGACATCTAGTGGAATTTTAATGCTAGGCCTCATTTCATTAAGTTTATAGTTCTGTGTTTCTGCATTTACACAAAAAACAGTCCCACTGCCAAAACAAGAGTGACATAATGTGATTATGTACATTATTATTATAAAAGCCAATATAAAAAAAAGGGACGGTATGTGAAATGCTAGTAAGAACAGAAAGTAGTGATTGCTAAATTCTGTGTGGTGTAACTGTACATAACATAAATACAATATTTGTTGTTTTAACTTATGAACTTTTTTTGTAAATATGCGCTCATTACAAATCTGACACCTGCTACGTGTTTTAAAAAGTTAGAACAGAAGCATGTTTACCAGACTGTTACATCAACTTTCCTTTTAACAACATTTAATAATCATTTGGAGACTGAGGACACAAACTGATCCAGTTTTGAAAGTGGAATATTTTGTCATTTTTGTGTTGTACTAGTTTTCAGCTGTGCAACTGCACAGGCCCTTCACTGTCATATTTCATGCTTCATAACACGCTTTCAGTGGGAGACTCTAACTGTCTGATCACGCAGCCATGCTGTTGTAACACGTGCAAAATGTGGAAATGTGTTAAATAAGCAATGGATGTCCATGAAAAAGATGTTGTCTAAAAAGCAACATACAACCCTGTCTCTAAAGAAGTTGGGACGCTGTGCAAAATGTAAATAAAAACAGAATGCAATGATGTGCAAATCATTTAAACCCTAATATTTAAGTTAAAAAATTATAACAAAGACAACATATCAAAGGTTGAAACTCCGTGAAAGACTGCATGGGCAAGTATTGCAACAATTCAAGAATAACGTTTCTCAATGTAAAATAGCAAGGAACTTGGGGATTTCATCATCTAGGATACATAATATCATAAAAATTCAGAGGATTCAGAGAAATCTTTGTATGCAAGGAACAAGGCCAAAATGTTGGATTGCTGTGGGTCACCCTCAGGCAGCTCTGCATTAAAAACAGACACAATTCTTACCCAGTTTTGGAAATCAGGAACACTTCTGAAAACCACTGTCTGTGAACACAGTTCGTTGCTGCATCCACAAATGTAAGTTAAAACACTACCATGCAAAGAACAAACCATAAAACATCTTTTTCAAAAAACGTCTTTTTCAGTGAAGGCCTCACATATTTCAGCAAGACAATGCCAAACCACATTCTACACTATACAACAACATGACTCTGTAGTAAAAGGGTGTGGGTGCGTAACTGGCCTGTCAACCATTCAAAACATTTGCCGCATTATGAAAAATATGACAAAGGAGACCCTGAACTGTGAGCAGCTGACATCCTATATCAAGCAAGAATGGGAAAACATGTCACTTTCAAAACTACAGCAGTTGGTCTCAGTTCCCAAATGCTTACAGAGTGTTGTTAAAAGAAGAGGCAATGCAGCACAGTGGTAAACATGCCCCTGTCCCAACTTTTTTTGAAACGTTGCTAGCATTAAATTCAAAATTGGCACATATTTTTCGAAAAACAATAAAATTTCTCAGTTTCCAAAATGGAGAAGGGTCTAACTGCAGAGCCGCAGATTTACACCTGCAGTATCAGGCCAGTGGAACGTATGCGCAGTAGGACAGCGCGATTGTGCCATCTAAGTCCTTATAGGAAAGTTGAGAGTTACAAGCTTTCGCATTCATATTTCAAACAGTGGCTGATCTCCTCATTTCTAACATCTCTGATGTAAACAGCGACTGTTTGTGCTGGTTGTATGAGTCGCCATGCATATTATCATTCAGGAAGGGATACGAATCAACTATTGGTAACCAGTTAAACCATAAGCTAAAACACATTACAAAACCATTAGAAACCAAAAGAAACACTTAATGATTTCTTTGGGGTTTTTCAGCAGGAAAACATTAACAAACTAAAGTTTGTTTTAGCCTAAAGCTTAATATTATGCTCAGTTTAAACCTGCCTAAGTTAAAGTTTTATTCCTGCGCATGTAATGTAAGTGTACACATAAAGCCCCCATATTGAGGGGTAAGTTAATTGAGCTATATGTCTACATAACCTATTAGTTTACCCAAGCCACATAAACTGTAGTTTGTGTAGAATTTACCCTGTGAATCTCTATATGCATTCAAACCAAAGTTTGTTTTAGCCTAAGGCTTAAAATATAACATTAGTCCAATCAAGTTTATCAGAAATTTATTGGAAACCCACATAAAATGACTGAATTGTTGGTCAGCCTAAAACTCGCTAAGAAAAACCGCATGCGTTAAATGCCTCTGGCTTAAACCTGCTGGAGTGAAACTGCTGGCGTGAAACTGTGGCTCTGCGGCTCTGCAGACTGATATTATTGCCAAAATGTGTATATCTCCTTCAGCATTAATAGTGCCTACACAGATGGGTAGGTTACCCACTCCATGATAGAGCCTGGCTTTTGAACTTCACACTGGGAACACTTTATTAGTTCCTTTTCTTCTTTGGCCCAGAGATAGGATTTGTGGATGCAGCAACAGGTGGTGTCTATTGAAATAATTTGTTAAAGTATTCTTGAGCTCATGTGATATTCTTTACAGAAATTTTCTTTACAGAGTTTTAATGCAAGGCCTTGCCCTTTACACACAGAGATTTCTCCCCATTCTTTGAATCTTTTGATGAAATTATGCATTGTTGAGGGTGAAATACTTGTAATCACTCATTGAGAAACATTGTTTTTAAACTGTTGGATTATTCACTGACGCCTCAACCCATGCTTACTCAAAAAACACTGAGGTGATCTCTGCTCCTTTTATTCCCCAGCATGATTTCATCACCTGTTTGAGATGTTTTTTGAATGTTCCATAATGCTCCTAGTGTAAAGTTGCCTCTGTCCTAAATGTTTTGGAACATATTACAGGCAATTTCAGAATGAGCACATGTTCACAAGAAACAAAGAAGTTGATAAGGTAAAACATGAAATATCTTCGCACCCTGTCCCAGCTTGTAACTGAGATTTGTTTTATTATTATTGTTGTTGTTTTTATTGTCA